AAAAAATTATAAAAAAAATTTACTGATCTAGATTTATATAATACTATTTGCTGTAAAAATTTTAAAGCTATATCTTTCAATTTAAAAAGTTAGAGGAGATGGAATACTTATGACTTTGACTGTATACTCTTAGGATCCTATATCTTATTTCATGTAGTCCTATTAATATTTTATTTATTATATACAAAACATTATTTACTATAATTATTATTAAAATTTATGTTAGCAATAAAAACATCAATATTATTAGTTATAAATAATTTTTTTTAAATATTGCTATTTTTATTTTCTTTTTTGCTAATATTACTTCTTATAAGTTTTTAATTCTATCTGACCCTTTTCTAATTCTAATCAGATAAATACATTATACAAATAAAATTATAATATGGTAATTTAGTAAAATAAATAAGTTGTTAACTCCAAGTATAATTTGAGTGTTTAAGTTTTATTAATAACAAAAATTTAGATAATCATCTATATAATACTTATATTACAGCAATTGTTTCTAATAAATAAATTAAAATACTTGTAAGAGTAATTATATTAATATGACTGGCAGGTCATAAGGCATCTGTATAAGTATGATATTATAAAGAAGAATGCAAACTAACATCAGGCAATATAAACTCTAAATAAGTTCTTATGCTATATAAATCTATAGAAATTATAAAACAAAAAATCTATTTAAAAAGACTCAGATAGAGAAATAATATAGATTTTTATTAGTACTATTGTAAAAACTAAACTTAGGAAACAGATACTAAGATTATAATATTTAGATAAACAAGAACCTTGAGTTAAAAGTTTTAAAGATATTATTAACTAGACTACAAAAGAATTAGAAGAAAAGAATATTAGATTAATCTAATATATTAATAAACTGATTATAGTTTTATATGAACTATTTGAATTAGAAGTTTGATAAAAGGCAAAGATATACTAAAGTACAAAAAATATACTATGAAGTAGATACTAGAATTCAAATAAACTTTACAAGATAATAGTAGTTTAATAATATAATTCTAACTGCAAGTATTAGTTTTATTATAATAATATTAGATCAGCTATAAAAATGAATACAAAAAACTTTAAAAGGTTTATCTTAAAGATAAAATAGTTCTAAGATTGAGACAATAATCTAGACTTGACTTAGTCATATTAATACAAATGCAAGTTTAAAAGATTTAAAATAGAACATCTAAGCAGAAATGTTAAATATGACAATTAATAAAAAACCTTCAAGTGAACTTCTTAAATATGTAATATAGAAAAGTTATATATATAACCAATTGTATACTCTTTCTGTAGTAGTTTATAAAATCACATTACCAAAAAAGTTATTAATAAAAGTTAAAAGACCAAAGAGGTCACCTTAACAACAAAAAAAAACCAAATAAAAATCATATAATCAAAATTTTTATCAATTAAAGCTTCAAAGTTATACAACTTAGATTTGTATAATATATTATTTAGAGTTAAAAAAGGTTAAAGATTAACTAGATCATGTAAAGGTAGAATTAGCAAAATTGAAAGTGGAAAGTTATTTTCTTTTTTTTCAAACAATAAATTTAAAATTTTTTTAAAAAAATTATGTAATTCTTTATCTAAAACTTATTGCATTTCAGGTATAATTTTGAAAAGATCTTCATATTATAACCTATTATGAGAACTAAATACCCAAAATGTATTAATATATTGAATATTATTTTTTAATTCCATGTTAAAAACCTAATAAAACTAGTAATAATATTATATATACATTATTGTATTTAATCCTAGATCAAGATAATTTGGCTATCCTTTTTACTCATTATCAAATATTATAATAAAAGTTTATTAGAACAGTGCTTTTTCACTTTCAGATAATTCATCCAACCAAGTCTGAAAATGGCAATAACTTTCTGAACACATAATATGGGCTCTTTCTAAAATTGATTATACCAATTTTGAGTATTGCCCATTAAAGCAATAGTTAAAATTTAAAAATTAAAGCAGGTTATCTTAATAAAATTTTGTACCATTGACGTTTTTTTAAAAACTAAACATTTCGTTCCAACTATCCCATGTACAAAACTGTCACTAGCTACAGTAAGATTTATTATAAATTAATTATGTATCTGTCACACATATTATTTATTCTAAACATTTTAAAGGAATTACTAACAGCTTTATGTATATATATTTTATGTATAAACACAAGAACGAGTGTTTAATCTTATTATGTTTAAAAATCGTGCAATAATGTAAACTGTATGTCATTTACTGATTTCTGTCAATTCGAAATCGACATGTGTCGCTTTTGGATTTCCACTGATCGAAACTAACTTAAGTACATCATGAAAAATACATATTTTTGCTTTTTGACTCGTAAATCCTTTTAATATATTAGAAATATATGTTAATCAAGAAAATTCGACAAGCCGCTATTCTAAAGGTCAATTGGGAATTTATTATAGAAATAAAGCATATAACTAAACGAAATATGCATTCAAACCTCGTGAATTTGTAAAATATACAAATAATTGTCTTGTAAATTATTCACTTTACTTAAAATTAATAGGTATTAAAAAAAAAACAGATACAACTGTAAGGTGAGAAATTATGCTAGTGTCGCTTAACTATAAGCTACACAGTTAATAATTGTTTAACTGTTCAATTGTTTAACCGTTTAGTGATCGTTTAATTTTATTCATTTTAACGTTGATATTTCAAGAAAATGAAGGGCTAACCGTAATTATTCAGTCATTCAATAGTGTGCATAATGTTTAATTCTGTTCATTTTACGTTGATATTTCAAGTAAACAGAGGGTTAACCATAATCAGTTGATTGTTCAATAAATTACTAGAATGAGTATGAAGTTTGATTTTATTCGTTTGAGTTGATAGTTCGCAAGTTAATTAAAATCATTTAATCGCTTAATAAATTACTCCTTCCTCATCTTCAGAAAATGCATAGCTGCTATTATTATTAGGCGGGTGTGATAAAATCGTAGTTGACATAATAGAAAAAAAAATTTTAACAATTGAAATTTGATAACGATCTTTTTTTAAGGGAATTGCTACCGACACCGCAACACGTGATCTAATTTCCTAATCCTAACACTAACCTTAACGATAATGCTGGCCGTGCGGTGTCATAAGGTTAGTGCTGGTCATTTGCAAAAAAGAAATGCAGAAATTCACGTGAAAGGTGTACAACCAATTCACATGATACAAAATCACGAGCAGATCTACAAAGTCACGATCTTTTATTTTTTCCTAGGGAGATGCTTATGAAAATCGGACGTAATTTCAAAAAATCTAGCAAAAAAAAATTTTAACGGGCTAATTTGCCCGCTAGATGATTTAAAGGATAGCTGTTCGCAATACTGTATTGATAAACCAAAAAATTTAAGAATTTTTTTTTTATAATTTGGGATCCGTATTATTTCATAAACAGCCATCTAACCGAAATCGTATAACATTTATATGCTAAAACTAATAATAAGTCGTGAAATGACCGTCGAGTGATTGTGATTTTCCGCAGAATACTTTGTACGTATGACTTTTACTATGCCCTAATGCTTTCACTGACCTTTATTACCTTCGAATTTTGTTATCTTAACTCACGATCCTTTATTATATCAAATTATTTCATAATAGCGTCATCTTTAAATTAAACGCTTAACTGTTATTAAGTGACCAGCTTCTGACTCCATTGATTTTGAAATGTGTGATGTTAGAAACTTAGAAACCTAAATTTAATTTAATGCGTTCGGATATAATCATTACGTATTTTAAACCGGCGAAAAGGTTTTTTTTTTTTTATAATCGCTAGTTACAGCACCATCACCGATTTTTATTTAGTACGAATAGCCAATCAAACAGTATAATTAATCATCAACAATCTTTGCTGAAAAGATAAATGGCTTTAAAATCAGTTTGGATAGAAATTTTTTTCATGTATTCTTCCTTTTTTTTTCTAAGAACATTATTTTGTGAAATAAAAATATTTCTTTAACTAAAAGATATATGTCTCAATACATTACTGCATTATTATTATTATCGTCATGAAAGCATTCGTTTTTCATCAATCTCAAGAAGGTCCTAATGCCATTTTTGAAGAAAAACCTGTGAAAGAGGTTCCTGATGGTTACGCGCGTGTAAAAGTTTTGGCTGCTTCATTGAATCATCGTGGTAATGAATTTATTTTATGTATTAACTCTGCAATATAATTGCTTATGATGGCCTCTTTATTAGACGAATGGATTCGGCATGGTTTCTATAAATTAGGAGATAATTATATTATGGGTAGTGATGGTAAGCAATTATTCGTTGATATCTTCGATTCATGTTATATAATTTTATTTTATTTTTGTAGCTTGTGGTATAGTTGAAGAAGTGAAAGACGAAGAGTATAATAATCTTGTTGGAAAACAAGTCATTATTTATCCATATTTAGAATGGGTAAACGATGTGCGTTCCTCACGTCATGTCCTCAAAATACTGGGGGGCCCAGATGATGGCACTTTCTGCGAAAACATTATTGTTCCAGCTAAAAACCTTATAGTGAAACCTGATCATTTGACACCTGAACAAGCTGCCACGTTACCTATTGCCGGACTGGTAGGATATACGTAATAAATAAAAAAATTTTTTAGTTGTTTTCTTTTACTCAATTTGATCTTTTCATAAAGACATCATATCAAGCACTCATAGTTCGTGGTGGACTTAAAGCTGGTGAAACTGTTCTGATCACAGGTAGTGGTGGAGGTTGTGGTATATTCCTGATCCAATTTGCCAAGGCATTTGGTGCCAAGGTATTTTTCACGACAGGTCAACAATATAAGCTTAACTTTTTAGAAGACAAGTTTAATGTCAAGGGTGTACTTTATACAGAAGTGAATTGGTTTGATAAGTTAAAACAAATCGTACCTGAGGAGCATGGCGGATTTTTTGATATGATTGTTGATTCGTCTGGCGGCAGATTTGTTCCTACTTATCTGGACTTGCTAAAACCCTCGGGTCGATACGTCTTTTTTGGCCAGGTAAAGTACCGATTTATTTATAAATAATCGCATTCAATTAATTTTGTACTCGCAATCTAATTAAGACATAGACGCTTGGGCCACCCACAACCGAACTATTACAAAAATGGAGCATAATTTATTTGAAAAGTCTTACTATTATTGGTTCAGATCTTGGCAACTTTACAGAATTTGAATCTATGATAAAATTTATTATTGATTACAAAATTGTTCCATTAATTGATTCTGTTGTACCATTCGATCGAATAATGGAACAATTTACTAAAATGGAAAGACGAGAACAAATCGGCAAATTAGTTGTTTCTTTTTGTTAAGAATAGTTAATATTGTCAATATTGTCAATATCTTGTATTTTAGATATTACTTGCAAGTCTACTGTAGTTACTATTTTAAAATGGATAGGGTTGATAAACTTTAAATAACAAAATTTTGGATGTTTTAAAAAATTCTATGTATTTCATCTCGGGATAAATCACATGATTGCATATAAAATTTTTTTCATTACATTTTTTTGCATCGAGTTTACATGCAACTAAGGTAGTAATGTACCTAGGGAGTTTTTTTAGCTCGCCAAATAGGACAAGACTCACTCCACTACTTGGCGAGCTAAGAAAATCTCGCCTTGCCGACCTGCCAACACCCTAAATGTACCGTACAAACGCGAAATAAAGCTTGTGGCGTTATTTTAAAAATCGTGTTCAAAAATAATGCCAATCGTCTAAGTTCACTCCTTATTTCGACAGACGTATGTACGTACTCGAAATAACGCATAGGTCAATTAATTAATGCACAGGTGGACGTTATTTCGTGCTGTGCGGTACTTACCTGGCAGCGTAATTTACATTGTAACACTAAAGCGAGCCAGCTTTAAGATAAATAAATTTTTAGCTAGCATTAAAACAAAGTAATAAGTTCATGTAAGCAGTGTTGTATGCGGACGTTGTCCTGTCAAAATTGTAGGGACACGGAAATGTTTTATTGGAGGTGCGATCAGCAAAATTATGTATAGATAGATATACATAAATGTACTAGAGGTTGGAACCGGTTTTATTAACGTTAACTTGTTAAATATCACAACCGAATATAAATCGGTTATAATATATCCGGCTAAATTCAGTTATCTGGTTATAATAATCCGGTTAAATCCGATTAATCGGTATTTTAATCAGATTATTATAACCGATTAATCGAATTTAACCGAATTATTATACTCAGTTAATATAACCGATTAATCAGTTAATTATTTATTCATCAAATTTTGGTTATTTTTCACTCATGAATTCATCACGCATATATATCACGCGTGCATTCGGATATGTAATTGCAGAGTACAAATAAATACAAACGTAAGCGATGTCGTAGTTGTGATAACTAATTATAGTAAAAGCAAGAATTTTAGGCACAAAAATTGGTAACCTGATGCAAATTAATTTGCGTATTTACCTGATATTTGGCATTTTTTATTTATTTTCGTAGGACTTTTTATTGGGTTATTGGAATGATAATCGCTGATCGTCAAAGACGAGAGAAATTCAAGTTTTTGGATAATCGGATAACCTGATAATTTATTACATGATGCCTTGTAAACTTTTGTTTGATTAGCTAATGCAAGTCGATTACCTATAGTGTATATCAAATGCTTCACAATATATTAATTAGATGCTAGATCAGTTCTCGTTTGTACTACTATATTTGCTTTCATTCCTGGTTTCTAGCACAACAGCATCACGCAGTTACCTTATTTAATTAAAACTAAGTTCCATGTATGCAAGTTACAGTAAATAACAGAGTGTTATCAAAAGAAAAACTATCATCAGGCTCAATTACAAACATAATTACTAATAAATTAAATGGATTTAGTCTGACACAAAATACATATAATTGAAAGCCTGATGGCAGTCTTTCCTTTATGGCACTCAAATGGAATAGCAGAGACCATTAATGTTACACATATATTAAAACTAGTAAAGAATTATATTCATCACAATTGAATCCAACATAAATAATTTAATTTGGAATTGATACCAGGCAAAAGGGATTCAATTTGGATTGAGCATTGTCTTTACTGTACTTCTAATTATTTGAATGAAATTAGTTATAATAAAACTGATTAATCAATTAAAAGCAGTTATAATAAAACTAATTAATTAGATTAAAAAATTTATAACTCAGTTATAAATCTAATTATGATAACTGGTTTTAATTTTTAATATATACTATATTTTTAGCAAAATAAAGTAAATACAAATATATATTGTATAATTGAAAAGAAAATATATATATATATTTTGGTATTAAGATGAGGTCTTGCTTGTATCTTAATTAGTAGTTTAAAAGTTAGTAGTTACATGAAACTGCTATATACAAAAAGTAATTTTCTATATAAATGCTATAGCTAAAACTAATATTTGTAGTCAGGATTAAATCATTAACACACTCTTCCTGCTGATCTCTGATTCCAAGTAAAACAGAAACAAAAAAACACAAAATACAACTAAAACAAAATAGAAAACAGTTCTTGGGCTCTTAAGAAAAAAGAGTTTATGTTTAAAAACACATAAACAATAGTAGAAATATAACAACAGAAGAGGTATCTCTAACAGACTAAACTTGTCTTTAGAAAAATTTTCTTTCTTTTTAGTATAAAATTCGAAAGTTTGGAAAATCATGTTTGACTCTGAAAAACAGAAAGAGAACACATGACTGACTAAACAACAACAACAAACAACAAACAACAAAGTTACATTCTCAATTAGAAAATAGATAGATAGATAGTAGTAGCACAACACAAGCTGCACGTAAACAAATCAAGAAGGAAAGTGTACAAAGTAGAAATACAACAAACAAATCAAATGGATCAGATCATTGATACAAACATTATATGCTACATCAAGGGGGCAGGTGACAAAAGTCGAAAATATTTAAATTCTGAATTGTTAGACCAAATTTTAACAATGTCTACAAAAGAACCAAGCAATATAGAGCATATAGCAAAAGACTTAGCAATAAACAACCCAAACCATGTTACACTAAGTGATGTACTATTTTACAGACAAATTCTTAAGGCCTTGAGTCTAGCAGAAATGAGCTGGCTTGAGGAAGATATAATAGATGAATGGGTACAAAGACTTAGACTGATGAATTAAAACCCAAAATCAGTCGAATATATTACAAATATGAACAAAGAAGAAATACTTAAAGAAGAAAGGAAAATGGAAGGAATAGAGAAACTGAACAGCATAGAAAAGATGCAAGCTTTAATAACAAAGAAAAGATGTCAAGAAGTAGCAAGTAAAGAAATATTGTAAGAAAAACCAATCCAAATAATAAATGAAATCATTGGCCAAATGGAGGAGTTTAACATTAACATGCAACAAGATATACAACAAAGAAATTTCTCACCAAGCACAAACCAAACCTTTACAAACAAATCAAATAAAGTAGAAGAAACAAGGGAAAAGAAGATAAAGAAAGACACAGAAGCTCCAAGAGACAGCATCATCCGAGATGTTAAGAAAAATATAAAAAACATAGATAAAAGAATAATAGAGTTAAGAGAAGAAAATATAATATACAAAGATTCAACCTTTATAGACACAACTAAACACAGCCAATGGTCAACAGAAAATAGAGTATGTAAAAAGGACATGTCCTTCAAATCAAACATGCCAACATACATTCTACCAGGAGAAACAAGTGATGAAAGAATTAAATATGTGCAATGGATTCTGGGCAAGAATCACTATATTAAGATGATTAAAGAAGTTTTTAAAAAAGAGAACAACTGGGTAGAAGTAGACTTTGATTGTGAACATAGTCGAGATGTAGTGATGGACAGAATTCAAGAAAAAGATAGTGAATGGCTAAAGCTTATTCTAGAAGAAAAGAGAAACAAAAAATCAAATCTTGAACAACAAGTTAAAAACAATGACAAAAAAGAGAAAGAGAGATATAGAAGTCAAACTAGAAGAGAAGAATATAAGAAGAAAGAAGACTTTTTTATGATAGAAAACGAAACAAATTCATATGACTGTTTTACAATATGGGACCTATCTATGAATATCAATGCAGAAGAAATTAGGCATATGTGCAAAAGCTTCAAGAAGATACAAATAAAACATATCAAAAGATCAAAACACAAGGCATTAGCAGTAGTTCAAGCAGATCAACTTATTGATAGAAACATTCCATAGACTCTGCCAATCGGCATTCACAAGTTGGCAAGAGTAACCAAAGGTAATGAAGATTACACACAACATGATCTTCAAAATATGTTCACAACAAGACTAACAGAGCTTTCAGGCAATGCCTCAGAAGTATTGCTACTACATTGCTTAAAAAATAAGAGAGCAAAAGCAGTTTACATATCACCTAACAGAAATGGGAACCAAAGAAGAGCAGCAACAATCACTTTTGCATCAAAAGAAGAAATGGAAATAGCACAATCCAAACCAATAAGATT